TCATAATTGTTTCGAGTTTGGTAAGCCGAATCTTTGTTTTCTGAAGTTTAGCTTTGTTACGTATGGAAGGTACGTGGGTGACGTGTTTATAATATTTAAAGAACAGAACTACGATAGAAGATTTTGAGTTAAAGAACAGCCAACGCACAAACTGAAAAAAAAAAAAACACAGGTGATTTCTGTATTTCCATTTTTGTGGACATTGGAAATGTAAATGATGACCAGCTACTTAAAAATAGACGAATATCACAAGTCCATTGTGCCGGACTGTATTTGAAATTTTACAGTATTGTGAGTGTTGCTTCATCGAGATCACGTGACTATTCTCACGCCCTCTACCTTCTAGAACTATCCTGTACTTTGGCGAATGCTCTAGCATTTACTAGATATAGGGTAGGCTGGTATATAAAAGAGAGTGATAACGTGACGGGAAGGTAATGTGTGTGTAGACAGTGAGTAATTTATCTGCAGTCAGAGAGTATTATTGAGCACGTTCGTAGTTATAGCGTTTGTTTTAGCGCGATTGTTGAAATTAAGGGTATCGTAAAGTTATATTCGGAAAGAATAAACCAGTTTTATTAAATAAAGACTTGTGTCGCTAAAGTTTCGTCGGAACGAAGTTACGGAAAGTTGATTAACAAACGGAGACGTAACATGAGCAATACTTTTAAGAATAATTATCTTTTTATTCTTGTTCAGTAAACATAGAACCCGTAAGACTTATAGCACGTATACCGCGTTCTGTCAAGAACTGTGTAAACATCAGGGACGTTTTGGTAGCACTGTGAGAGCTTCATTTGGTTACAGTGAGAGTGTAATACAATACATGTACATTGAAGTAAGATGTGTCCAAGTCAGTACTCTATCGTACACGTGATACCACTTATGGTTAAGCATGATGTCATCTTAAAAACAAATTTAAAAAGGGACCAATAAAACTTAAATATGATTCTAACTCAGAACCTTTTATAAAATATTTAAAAAATAGAAGGGTTCATTTATTGTTGTGTAAAAATTTGTTAGTATAAGTTGAGAACGAGGCTGGCTCTTCGATGATTTACGTTATCTTAATGATCTTGGTTCAAGCAAACAAATTTGATTTCGAGTCGAGTATCTCAAATTGTTTAAGTTAGTACTGTGGTTTCTCCCCCCCCCCACTACCCCACACGCACAGAATTACAGACAGCACGTAAAATAAAATTCATTATAAGTGTCAAAACATTGTTACAGACTTCACCGTTACTCGCCCAGTGCATTACCGTTTTTTTTTCTTCAGCAAAATAAGCAGTTACCACAGGTTCCGTCGAGACGTTTTACAAAACCCAGAGCTTTACGTGGAACGCTCTTCGTATCAATCATATATATAAGTACATGCATCATGATACGTAAATTTAACTTCTATAGTTCGTAGCGTTGTTGAGCTTTACCAAGTAATATATAACTGAGTATCAAAATTAATGACTGAATCATTAAAAATAAGATAAATACTTTTAGAAACTTCACTCACAGCTAGGCCAGTGCGGATACCCCGTAATTTGATTACATAATACCATTTCAACTTTAGTGACTTTAGTTTTTACTCAAGGGTAAAATTCATTTCAAGCTACAAAAGGCGTTAACATTTTTTTTTGTGTGTTACCATTTCAGGTCGCAACCTAATTTATATAACAGCATTCTTATATATTGATTTTACTGTTCTATTTATGTGATATACGTCATTACTCAGGCTTTCAGTATTAGCTTAGTTACCAACATTTACAACCAAAGCGAAAACACTAGTGAATTTATTGGTAACCTTCTCATAGCCAGCTAGAACTGTAATGAATCTTACTTGCTAGTTAGTTGGTAATTTTTCCACTAAACTAAAGGCAATTTAAACTGGAGAACTGATGAAATTATGTATAAATTAATTTGAGCATTTAATACATTTTTTTTTATATTTGCTCTTAAAATTTATGAAAAAAAAGATTAGGTGTGAACCACCTTCAGTTTTTGGATTGAAGGGACAAGTAAATGTCACAGTATTATTAATTGCTAATAATGAACATCCTTGGACTTACTTCAGGGCTATTAATACTGTTGCGTCATCGAGATCACGTGACAATTCTCACGCTCTCTTGTTTCTAG